CATACAGTCTCCACCACTGTCTACATACATACAGTCTCCACCACTGTCTACATGCATACAGTCTCCACCACTTAGCCAAGGCAGGGGGTCAGGTGATGTATGTCAGTGTGTGTCGAACTCATGCAGTGATGGGGGAGGGTCTGGCCATGTGGGTGTGGCACTGCTGCAGGGGTCGTGGTCAATTCATTGAGGGAGGGTGGAGCCATGCAATTTTCAGTGAATCACACTCTGCTTTCACACGGTACGGCAACATCAGCCCAGTACAAAATTCATCTGTTACTAATCTGTTAACCGGATGGATCAAAGGTCAAACACTTATTTGAGCATTATTTTACTGGACACTGAAGAGTCAAGGGAAGCCAATCAGAGTCTGGAAACTCTCAAGGTAACATTTAGAAAGCCACATGTTTTTGCCCATTAGGAGAAAGCACTGTCATTTTGGTTATTCATGCTAGGGTTACTGTCACCATTGGTCTAGGTACAGGTGGTTATACATGCTAAGGTTGCCGTCGCCGTAGGTGTAGGTACAGGTGGTTATACATGCTAAGGTTGCCGTCGCCGTAGGTGTAGGTACAGGGCATGCCAGGAATAAGAAGCTGTCACTTACAGGTACTCCCCCTCCGCGACCTCAGTGTCCCGCACCAGGAATACGGTCCCAAAACTGCCTCTGCCCAGCTTCGCCTGGATGCAGTATCTCTGGGCTCTGAGGCAGGCACGGTGACGGAGCTTCTGGCCGCTGGCCGGCTGGACCTCCTGCTCCTGGAACTTGGGCATGTCATCGGGAGCCTACCGGAATGTGGAAACCCTGTGTAGATGCAACCACACAGCGTCATCTTACCAGATATGTTAATGTCTTCATTTTCAGGCAAGATGCTTAGTTTCACATTGTGGTTTATCCACTGGTTAAAAGTAACATTACTGACTAATTATTTGATTAATAAACAAGTTCAATCAATGTTCAGTGCAGTCATATGACTTTTAGAAGTCTGATGAAGAAGACTTTTTTATTTTTCCAAATACAGAGTGCTGATTCAAATCATCACACTCTCGGACCTCATCATCACGGATTTTAACAAAACTTGGCATGCTGATTTGGTCACATGAGTAACTCATGAACCTGAAATTGGTTGTGTCTGGGATCAATATTGAGGGAGATTTAAGAAAACAAAGTTTTAACTTTATTTGGGGGTGGGGGAGCTATGAATTTGACTGGCTATATTTACCTTAATGTGAGCTGCACAGAAATGGGCCTTATATTGTTTTAAAGCTATTGTCCAGCTCTATAGATTGAACAAATAATATGCCATCCCTATATGAATAGTTAATATGTATCAGCATTGGAAAAACTAAAAATTACCCCGTAACCCAGTCAAACAAGGCAATCTTTTAATGATCCTGGACTAGGGTATATACCCAAATAACACCTGCGGTTGTAAACAACAGATAAAAATTAGTAGCCACGAGCTAGGTATAGAACAACGTAAAGTCATAATAGCTTACTCACCTTGGATGACCGGGTACCTCAGTCAAGTTCCAGCTAACGAGCACCCCATAATATTGAGGTTAGGCTTTTTTATTCTTATTTGTTTATAGCTGCTCCCATGGAAACGCGCGTCGTGGGCGCGCTTTATTCTGACGGGCACGCGACTGTAAAAAGAGCCGATCTGAGACCGGCAAACACCAGATTCCAAAAGGTTCGTCAAAAGACTCGACCGGCGCCCGAAGCTAGCTGTCCTTCCAGTCAGCGCCCAGCAGATGGGGCCGTTTTTCTATGTTTAGGGCTGCCAACTCTCACGCATCTGGCGTGACATTCACGCTGAATCTCACGCTTACACAAATCTTACGGCAAATCTATATTATTTCATTATAAACCTAAAATTAACTACATTAAGCGTTGGGGTAGTTTGCAGACGCTACACACTATTTCCATGTGATTAAACTCTTGCATACATGTAAATGCGTGTGCAGACTCGTCTCATATACTGAAGTCCAGGTGGATCTTCTGCGTTTGTTCTTTTTCGGTTCATTGTTCGCAGTCCCGATATAAACGCAGCACCACCCACCACCAGCATTTAACTACATTTCCCATGATCCACCGAAGCGGAAGGGCAATTTCTTTGACTTCAAGTGTTTCCTGTAGGAGTGCAAATGGGACATGAAACAGGCGTAAACGGAACACTAAGGAAAACAACAACCGGAACTCCTGCTTAAAGGCCGAAGGACTACATTTACATTTGCGTTACAGCGTCAGAAGACACTCAAGTCGGAAGAGGCGAGCAAAGTGGCCGCCATGGAAGCGGTGCCCCGGATGCCCATGATCTGGCTGGATCTGAAAGAGGCTGGGGAGTTTCAGTTCAGCCCGGCCGTGAGGCAGGTGAGCCGGGAGAAAGGCGCGGCGGGCTGGTCGGTGTTTTACGGAGGACCTGCGCGTCTTTACCAGCCTCCGCTGAGTGCTAACGTTGGGCCTGACTAAATGAACTCGTTTGTTATGTATATCAATTTGCCTGGCTAATCCTATACGAAGACGGTTGTATGCTGGCTGACAAAGGGAGATAAGTACAGGGTCGTCTGCGCGTCTGTTTAATGGTCAAATAGACAGCTCCTTTTCCCTCAGGGTGTGTCACCGGCATGTAGTTCACCATCATACTGACATGACACGTGACGTGCTGTTTTTGAGCTTTCAGCTGCTTCATCTGGAAACATCCTGAGGGGATCCGTGGCCGCCTCTCCTCACCAGTCCGCTTCCCGTAGGATTATGGTCGCTCTCTCACTCCTTCCTTATTTAATACGGTTTTTTGATGGATAGGGGGTGGATACGATCGTGTCCTGGCAGCTTTACCGTGTCTATGTGTCGCTTTAGCGTTTAACCGTGTCATCCCTATTTAAATTTTTGTCTGTATCTGGCCCTCTGACACCTGTCCAAACTCTTTTTCTTCGTCATGTCGTCAAGTTAAGCTGCAGTATTGAGACCAGGCCAGCAGCTGGTGAGGATAAGCACCTCACCAGTGCCCAAAAGGCCAGAACATTGTCACTCTTTGCATTTATGCTCCAGGAAAACTTGTGAGGGTCCTAGTCCTTCGGGAAGTTCTAGATGCCATCTTAGAGGACCGTCATTTTATGGTATGAGTTCTTAAGCTGGATGTCTTCTGCGTAAGCGTGGAAAACAGTAAGCAGTACTCAACTGAATAAAACCAGGGACTTGTTTCTGGAAGATTTAGTAGATATTTTGAAACCAAATTAGGGTTAAATGAAGGTACTGGATGTAATACTGAAAATACTGTAAAATTTAAGGAGTGAGTTACGCTGGCAAGTTACATGCTTGTGTCAAGGCCAACCAGATTCCTTGTATTAGTGCCGTATCAAAATATTTTTTTCTTTTATGCTTTTATGTTGACTTCAGAATGGTTTTAGTCACGCTGTTTAAATCAACCCCTTTTTCAGACTTTGAAAAGTAATTGTGCATCTGAGAACCGCGATTTGAAATTCAAATTGCTGATTGTTTAACTGCTAATGAAGCTAATGCCATCCCTACATGTAAGAAGAGCACAGCTGTTCTGGTCAGACCAGGCTAACAGCTCGAGTTTGAGTCACTTCCTTGCTGCTGACATGACACACTCAGGTGTGGCAGAATATTTTATTCTGTTCAGTTTCTCAGCTGATACTGTCATCCAAAGAATCCTACCGACGTTTCATTAAATTGCACAGTAAGATTCTTTCTGGATCTCTGATGATCGGTATTCAGTGGCTTCCTGGTAGCCAGATCCTCCACCTCTTCGCGCTCAATCCAGTCCCCAAGCACTGCGCTTCTTTGTGTTAGTGGTGGGAGAAATAAGGCTGTGTAACTCATAGTGGGGAGCAGCTCCCTGCACCGTCAATCACCGGTTATTTAATGCTCGCATTGGGCCCTGCTGTGCCTGACTTGTAGTCAGCTCATCTGTCAGCTGCTGTAATCCACGGTGCCCTGATCTGACACGGAAATATCCAGCTGAACAAGATGGCTACTCTCACTCTCTTTATTTGAATAAGGGGGTGGGACATGAAGAGTCAAGGCAATGAGGCTGTAGCTGCATCAGTGGTGTGTGTGGTGTGTTTGCTATCTCTCTGAAGTGTGTCAATGAGTCCTGCTTGCTTCAGAGCATTAAAATCAAGAGGAGCAGGTCTGTCTCTATGCCACTGTTAGTCAGAGATTCCTGTTAGGTTGTTGTTTTTCACTGATCTTCAAAGGCATGGTGGTGTGGCAGGTCTGAAATGGACACTGACGTGTTTAACGTAATTTATTTTAAATTAAAATAGTTATGTAGGCTGGTAGAATGTGCCATTATACCCGTTTTACTGGGATAAAGTGATCCATTCCTGCTTGTTCACATGTGACCTTCGGAAGATGCCGGTGTCGTCGTAGTTTATGATTGTTTCACCACGGTGAAGGGTGCTGGTGACAGGATCCGGGAAGTCGTCCCGAGGTCACTCTTCCAGACCAAAAAGCCCAGCATCCTGTTTTTGATGTCCTTTTGGGTCTGGATCCTCTGGGCTCTGACTGAGCCTTGCGTTCTTCACTTGGCATTACATGGGTGTGACCCCCCCCCCCCCCCCCCACTTATGCTCCCTATTAAGGGACTGAGATGTAGCTGTAGCCCTCAGGACAAGGGTAGTAACGGGTGCATACGGAGCAGGCGACAGCACGACATGCTCCAGCCCTCGATGAAAGACAGCCACGGGGAATTGTGGGATTGCTGTCAGGCCAAACAGAGGTGGGGGTGACTAAGATTCAGACTGGGTGGGTTTTTTGCATTTTGCATTGATAATATGGATGGATCATTAGAGAATTAGCTACCTATGAAGACTTTCAGGCCTGGGATTTGATTTCCAGATGTGCGTTCTGGTACAGCAGAATGCCGACCCCGAGAAGGCTGGCGAACCGTCTTCTGGGATGTGCTGGTCCTGTGGCTTCATAGCTGTACTTCTTCTCCTCTGCTCCAGTTCATCCTGAAGAACTATGGGGAGAATCCAGACAACTACAATGATCAGTTGAAGAAGCTGGAGCAGCTGCGCCAGGCAGGTGACGGGACAGGAGGGGTCCTTGTGGGACAGCGTCGGTGCAGGTCATGGATCTGTCCATGTGACTGGAGGGTAGCCAATGACAGTAAGGGGGCGGGGCATGAAGCAGAAGGAGTGTAGAGAATGTGACGGTAAACAGCAGCTTACTTACCATGTAATTTCTTTAAGAGCAGAGGGCTGCAGAATGACTCCGATTCCACAAGCTTATCTTGTCTCCATTCATGTATATCTGTGAGTGTATATGTGTGTGTGTGTGTGTGTGTGTGTGTGTGTGTTTGTCTAACCGCCCGACTGCACCCCTCCAGAGTGCGGTCAATGTCACCAGGGACTTCGAGGGCTGCAGCACCCTGAGGAAGTACTTTGGGCAGCTGCACTACCTGCAGAGTCGCGTCCCGATGGGCTCCGGTCAGGAAGCCGCCGTGCCCATCTCCTGGTGAGCCCCCGCCCTGCAGCGCGCGCCTCTGGACTCCTCCCTGCGGCTGTTTGAGTGCTGCTGTAGTGCTGCACTCTGCCCATGATTATGAAGAAGCATCTCTGGTGGCCCCTTAAGGTCACTCGGATGTTCTGGTCTGGGATACGGTTCTTTAGCTTCCGTCTGCTTGTTGACCTAGTGACTTCCCGTATACACCTGCTCTGTTTTGGGGCCAGGTCCCTGCCCTCCTGTACACTTACAGCCCCCATGACTCCCATGCCTTAGTGCTGGTCCTGGATCAGTGCGCCTTTCCAGTCCTTTAACTGTGTCCACCACCAACTTTAACTAGTTTTACTGGATGAAATGCAGTTTGTGTTCATGAAGTACTTGGACACATTAAGAAACCTTTTTTTCACATGTATCATTAAAGATGGGAAAATGGTCAAGTTAATAAATGTCAAAAAATGATAATAGATTACCTTCCTGCTATTTCCTGAGGCACTTGCATTTGTGAAAGGGCTGGGCCAATCAGAACTGGTCAGAACTGAAAGGAGGAGAAAGAGAAACTAACGATGAAAATAACCACTGTGCCTTTGTCCAAGGACCGAGATTTTTTCTGGGAAGACGGTTACTCACGATGACATCTGCTATGAACAAGCGTGCATCCTCTACAACCTGGGTGAGGAGTAGGAGCTCTCGAGGGAGGGGCCCACGTATCTGCCGTGTCTGTGCCCTGCTGACTTCCCGTCGTGTTCTTCTCCCCCCAGGGGCCCTCCACTCCATGCTGGGTGCCATGGACAACAGGGTGTCGGAGGAGGTGAGCTGGCCCGGCCTGGTCCTTCTCTTCAGCCTGAGTGCTTCTGCATGCTAAACTGTGCCCCCCCCCCCCACTCCCCGACCAGGGCATGAAGGTGTCCTGCACGCACTTCCAGTGCTCAGCGGGGGCCTTCTCCTACCTGAAGGACCATTTCAGTCACAGCTTTAGTGTGGACATGAGTCACCAGATCCTCAACCTCAACATCAACCTCATGCTGGTATTGAGCTCTCACACAGGAGTTACACGCGTGTGCACACTCACGCATGCACGCATGCAGGGCCTTATTGGTGCATTGTTGAGTTGTCATGGTTAAACTGCCCCATCCCTCTGCTTCAGGGCCAGGCTCAGGAGTGTTTGCTGGAGAAGTCAATGCTGGATAACAGGAAGAGCTTCCTGGTGGCTCGCATCAGTGCCCAGGTAGGTCTGTCCACTCGGCTACAACCCTGTTAAAGCTCACTGCACATAGCCCTGTGGGGAAGAGAGTCAGAATAACATGGGCTTAGGGTGCAAAGTCAGAGACACAGAGTGACGGCAGAGTGCATCAGGGTTAGGGAGCAAAGCCCCGATCCTACAGTCAGCCTTGGGTTTCATATGATTGGATGGTAGGGTGGGTAACTGCTTCGGATAATGGTCTGTCACCCCCTGCAGGTGGTCGACTATTACAGGGAGGCATGCTGGACCTTGGAGAACTCTGATACGGCTTCTTTGTTGGGGAAGATTCAGAAGGATTGGAAGAAGCTGGTGCAGATGAAGATCTATTATTTTGCTGCCATTGCTCATGTGAGGGTCTTGAGAGAATTTCCATGGTGACCCCTTTCCATCACTGTTATCTTGGGTTCTGTATGGAGACAGTGTTGTGTTCTGATTGTGGTGTGTGTAGGTTGCTGTAGGTTTGAGTAGAGACTGCAGTGATTCAGTGAATTGTTAACCAAATGTGTGAGTGGAGCTGTGATGTTTGACGAGCCTGTCAGTCCCCTGGTGACACCCCCCTACCTTCCCTGCAGCTGCATATGGGGAAGCAGGCAGAGGAGCAGCAGAAGTACGGGGAAAGGGTGCGTCTCCGTGTCCATGCATGTCCTCGTCACTCGTGTGTTTGTCCCAGTGACTGGCTGATGTCACTGTTCTGAAAGCCAGGAAATAGCCTGCAGTAAAGAGATGACATCATTCAAAAGCCCTGTAATGTGTGAAGTTAATGTTGTTACTTGTGTTGATAGGCAGGGACAGTAATTCATGCGCAGATATTCTGTTACAGCTGGCCTACCTGCAGAGCTCCCTAGACAAGCTGAATGAGGCAATGAAGCTGGCCAAGGTAATGTAACGGTGTCTGGGCGGGGGGGGCTCTCAGTCTGAGGGGGAATGGTCTGGGCGGGGGGGGGGGGGGCTCTCAGTCTGAGGGGGAATGGTCTGGGCGGGGGGGGGGGGGGCTCTCAGTCTGAGGGGGAATGGTCTGGGCGGGGGGGGGGGGGGCTCTCAGTCTGAGGGGGAATGGTCTGGGCGGGGGGGGGGGGGGCTCTCAGTCTGAGGGGGAATGGTCTGGGCGGGGGGGGGGGGGGCTCTCAGTCTGAGGGGGAATGGTCTGGGCGGGGGGGGGCTCTCAGTCTGAGGGGGAATGGTCTGGGCGGGGGCGGGGGGGGGGCTCTCAGTCTGAGGGGGAATGGGGCAGAGATACGGTGACCTATGAGGTGTTCAATGCAAAGGCCTGGGTGCAGTGAATCGAGGCTGTGGGCATGAGTCCGTGTTCAGCAGGTAAGGAGTGTGACCAGATGGTTATTCAGAGCTGCTAAGTGGGATGTCATCTCTTCAGGGGCAGCCTGACAGCGTGCAGGACGCCTTACGCTTCACCATGGACGTCATCGGAGGAAAGTAAGACACCTAATCTCTTCTACTTTGACTCAGTGGCATGCCGTACCTGGTGGGGTTTGACTCCTGATCCCTTTTGCTTTGACTCTGTGATGCACTGTATCCTTCGCTGTTTGACTCCTGACCCTTTGCTGTCTTTGCTCATCTCTGGTCTTTCGGATCTTCCAGGTTCAACTCTGCTAAGAAGGATAATGACTTCATCTACCATGAGTCTGTGCCTGCTCTGGACACACTGCCTTCTGTAAAAGGTGCTGCCATAAACCGGACAGGCGGACTAGCTCTCCAGTGCCCCCTGGCTGCGGTGGCGCAGACAGACACATTCACCACGTTTTCACCCGTCTCCCTGTGCCCCCCCCCCCCCCCCACACAGTTATTTTTCTCACCACTCTATCACTCTGCATCTCTCCAGTTTTCCTTCCCCCCCCCCCCCAGGTGCACCCCTGGTGAAGGGCCTACCGGTGAACCCTACTGACCCGAGCGTTACTGGGCCAGACATCTTCTCCAAACTGGTGCCTATGGCAGCCCATGAGGCCTCCTCTCTCTACAGGTGGGCGGGGGGGAATGGGGCTGCGTTTCCACATGCGGCTGTGCTGCAGATGTCACAAAGGGCTCCTTGCGGTTGCGTGAAGCCCTCGGGCCTCCCTTCCCAAAGGGGCCGGCAGCCACTCAAGGCGCCGACTCACCCTGCCGTCCTCTCTGCTTTCAGCGAGGAGAAAGCCAAGCTGCTGAGGGAGGTCATGGCCAAGATCGACAGCAAGAACGAGACTCTAGAGTGAGTTCATGTGGAATGGGGGCTTTGCCAGTCATTATGGCTGTTTCTCGATATGCGTACTTGCGCTAGGGCTGCACGATATATCGTTTCAGCATAGTCATCGCGATGTACGCACGTGCAATAGTCACATTGTAGGACGTGCGATGTTAAGTAACGCAAATTACATTAGGCAGCGAATCGACCGAAAAGCCGTAATGTTCCTAACAGAGTGACTGGTCTGTCCTGAAATCATACAGCTGAAAAGTTTTCTAACACGGTATGTATTTTATATAACATGTTGGATAAATAGACATAGTTTATTGGTGATTTCATGGAAGTTTTCACTTTTTAACAACTGTATCAACTCAGGTGAAACAAATTGTACTGTGTGTGTGAAACAGACAGTTTATGGACTCGCTGTGCCTGGACCCCAACACCGTGGACAACCTGGGCATGTACGAGCACATCCCCCCCGTCCTGATGGAGAGGTGTGCTGCCCTGAGCGTGCGGCCAGACACCGTCAAGAGCCTCGTCCAGTCCATGCAGGGTGGGGGGCACACGCCTGCACACTCACGCTATATCCACGTAGCGTGACACGCAGCACACATACACACACACACTCAAATACCCAGCTTCCGTGTCGTCCTCCATATATCAGGGCTCCTTCCTTAGCTGCAGGATTCATTGTCTTCACAACAAGGAAAGTGGTAAATCCAATTTTAACCATTTATCATTGTGCGACATATATAAACTCACTGAACATACATTAGCACAGACACACAGATGACTGGGATTAGGTGACCAGATCGCTGATTCCGTGTAATCGCCGCCTTTAACCCCGCCCCCACAGTGCTGTCAGGCGTGTTCACAGATGTGGAGGCCTCACTGCGTGAGATCCGGGATGTTCTGGATGAGGACGAGGCAGGAGAGCGGAGCCTGGAGGAGGCAGGGGTGAAGCCGCCCCCCCAGCCCCCCCCTCTCGCTGAGCTGCGCCGTGACCTTGAGAAGTATCTGGAAGCTCATGAGAAAGCCAGCTTCACCAATACGGAGCTGCACCGTGCCATGAACCTTCACGTACCCCACCTGCGGCTGCTGGGAGGACCACTGGACAGCCTGCGGGAGACGCTGCCCCACCCCCAGCTCAGTGAGGGTGAGGTGATGGGCGGGGCTTAAAGAAACATTTAAAAGAGAAATGAATCTCTTAAAACCAGACGCCCCAACAGCACTGATGTAAACCCGCTTTGAAGGTCTTTGCTCTGGTCTGCATTTTGGGGGGAATGTTTTTGTCTTGACTGTGCTCCTCTCTGCCCCCTGGTGGCCAGACGAGCTTGCAAGTCTTCACTGCATGAAGCGCATTCTGGGGAAGGTGCAGGAAATGCGAGACCAGCGGAGCTCCCTAGAGAAGCAGTTGCGCGACCTTATCCAGCAAGACGACATCACATCTGTCCTGGTCACCACTGAACGTGCTGACATGAAGGTACGGTGGACACACCCACCCACAGATGTGTGTGTAGATCTGCGATTCCCTAGGGCAGACCCCTTGCAATCTGAACATTTCTGGTTGGTTGGTACCTTTTGGGGCGACCTTTGACCTTCTGTGAGGCCACCTGTCTTCACAGAAATTGTTTGAGGAGCAGCTGAAGAAATACGATCAGGTGAAGCTCTACATTGACCAGAACCTGGCCGCCCAGGAGAACATCCTGAAAGCGCTAACGGAGGCTAACGTGCAGTACGCTATGGTGCGCAAGGGCCTGACGGAGACGGAGCACAAGTGAGTGTCACATTTTTGTGTGTGTTTGTATTTATCACATTGTGGGGACCAGATTTCCCCACAATATGATATAAATCTGCAACTTTTTAGCTTATGGGGACATTTTTTCGGTCCCCACAAGGATAAACCTCAATTTGATAAAAATGTGTGAAAGCAATCAAAACACTTAATATGCCAAAAATCTTGTATTTCGCTTGGTTACTTATGGTTAAGGTTAGCACTTGGTAGGGGTTAATGTTGTCATAGCTGTGATTAGGGTTAAGCCCATAGAAATCAATGGAGAGTCCCCATAAACATACGAGTGTGTGTGTGTGTGTGTGTGTGTGTGTGTGTGTGTGTGTGTGTGTGTGTCATGCTGACACCTCCACTCACTGCTCTGTGTGTGTCCAGGTGGAACAACACCGTGCAGATGCTGGTCTCCTCCTACGAGGCCTATGAGGACCTCATGAAGAAGTCTCAGGAGGGCCGAGAGTTCTACCAGGACCTGGAGGGGAAGGCCTCCCAGCTGCTGGAGAAGGCCCGCGGCACGTGCAAGGCCCGCGAGGAGGAGCGCCGAGCCCTTCTGGAGAGGTGAGACCCAGAGCCCGATGTGGGTGATGCCGTGTAGAACCTCGGGCCGGACAGCACCTCATACAGAACCTCTAAGCCTGAAGGCGAAGTGCAGAGTGGAGGTTCACACTCATCTCTCTCTCTCAGGGAGCTTCAGAAGAAAGCCCCCCCTCGGCCCACGGCCCCTAAACCCCCCCTGCAGAAGAAACCGTCTGAGATGGACTCCTCCAGCTCCCTGGAAGACCCTGAACTGGCCCAGATCAACGCAGCCATCCTCAGTCTGGGGGGGGATGTCCCTGAGGAGCTACGCAGCATGCCACCAGACATGTCCTTCCCAGTGGTGGGCAGGGTAGGAGCTCGCCCCCCTGGCCCTGACACCTTCTTACCTGGGGGTGGCGCAGTGCCCTCCCTGCACTGGCCGATAGCCGGCTCCGCTCCTTATGCCCAGCTGCCTCGCTTCCCCCCCCAGCCAGCCCCCCCGGGATCCCTGCCTCAGCCGCCTCACACTAGCCAGCCCCACTTTCCCCAGCCGTCACCTGTGCCTGGCTACGCCCATCCGCAGTCCCAGCCGTGCCCACCAGGGGGTGCAGTCGTCGTGAGGCCATCCACTACCACGGTGGACAGCGTGCAGACACCCATTCCCAGCTACGCCCCGACCCTCCGCCACGCAATGCCCCCCATCACCTCTACTGGTTATATGCCCCCACCCCAGATGGGCCATTTTCCCCAGTATCCCCCCCAAGCACGAATGCCCCCTCAGGGATACCCCCAGCCGCAAGCCCCATTTCCCCTGCAGCCCCCACAGGTACAGGGCCAGTATCCCCGGTACATGCCCCCACACTTCCAGCAGCCTGCCTTTGCAGGGCAGCTTCCACCTCTCAGCCACCCAGGCTTGCCGGCCCCACCCCCTCGGCCAGGCTATCCCCCTCCCCATGTGATGTCCGGCTCCCATCCAGTGCCCCCTGCCTCCCAGGCTCAGGTCTCCCCATATTCTGGCCAGACCCCGATGCCACGAGCAACGATACCCCCCCACCAGCCTCAGCTGCCCCCGGCCTCTGGCCCCGCCCAGCACCCCCTTCCTCATGGCATTCTGCACTCCGTGCCTCCTGGTGTTCTGCTCCACCAGCCTCAACAGCCCCAGTTGCCTTCGGTTTCTGTTCCCTCCAAGCCGCAGTTGCCCCCTGGTGTTCTGCCCCACCAGCCCCAAATGCCCCCAGCCTCTGCACTCACACAGCCCTCGATGCCCCCTGGTGTTCTGCCCCACCAGCCCCAAATGCCCCCAGCTTCTGCCCCCTCCCAGCCCTCGATGCCCCCTGGTGTTCTGCCCCACCAGCCCCAAATGCCTCCAGCCTCTGCCCCCTCCCAACCACTGTTGCCTCATGGTGTTCTGCCCCACCAGCCCCAAATGCCCCCAGCTTCTGCCCCCTCGCAGCCTCTCCCGCCTGCTGGCCATTTGCCCCCTAATGCTCAGCTGCCTCTTGCCCCTTTGCCTGGCCTGCCCCAGCAGTCAGGGACAGTGTGCTACACGGGAGGGGGTCCCGTCTTGCCCCAGCCTCCTGCTGGTCCTGTTCAGCCGCAGAGTTCCTGCCCCAGTTACTGTCCCCCTACCCCACCACCCGGGGGTCATGTATCCCACCCAGCCCCCACCCCACCACCAATGCTGCCACCCGGTTCGGGCTCATCAGCCAGCCAACCCCCCAGCATGATGTCGCCCTCTCCCTCCCCAGTGCTGATACCCCAGCACCCCTCTCCTTCTCCCTCTCTCACTGGAAGCACAGGAGTGGCCCACCTCCCCCATCCTGGCTCTGCCTCCTCTCCCCCCGTGTCCTCCGCCTCCCCACCTCCCGCCAGCGGCTCGGGCCCCTTATTCCAGCGAATGAGTTCCAGCACAGACGACCTCCTGTCCAGCAGCCCTGAGGGTCTGCACGGGGGCCCCAAGGCGGCCGGCCACGTACTGCTACCCACCAAGGCCGACCCGCAGGACGGGCAGCGCTCCCGGCAGCCCGCGGGCGTGCGGCTTATCGAGGGCGACCCCTACGGCGCCCCGGGCCGCATCCAGAGGCTGCGCGAGGACCTGGAGCGCTTCGGCGCGGAGGTGCAGGCGCTGGCGGAGCCGGCCGAGCTGGACGGCCGCTGGCGGGAGCTGCAGGAGCAGCAGGAGCGCGACGTTCGCCAGCTCTCCATCGCCGTGGCGCGCTGCTACAGCATGAAGAACCGCCGGCAGGACGTCATGCCCTACGACTGCAACCGCGTGCTGCTGAGTTCCGGCAAGGACGACTACATCAACGCCAGCACCGTGGGGGAGCTGTCCCCCTACTGCCCCCACTTCATCGCCACGCAGGCCCCGCTGCCCGGCACTGCTGCCGACTTCTGGCTCATGGTTTACGAGCAGAAGGTGTCGGTGGTGGTCATGCTGGTGTCGGAGCAGGAGCTGGAGAAGGTAGGGGGTTTGTGGGCTGTGGGAGGGCAGCCGCTAAGAGCGTGGATCCTTAAGGCACCCCAACAGACTGTCAGTCAGTGCCCAGCCAGTGGCTGTACCATATGATTATATGCCTTTGATGGAAACCTGAACGATCACTGTAAGAAGCCTGTTTGACAGTACTATCAAACTGAGTACTATCGTCTTGAGGGTGTCGCTTCCTGTTTGGCAGCAAAAGGTGCCGTGCTACTTCCCGTCGGAGCGCGGCCAACAGCTGTCCCACGGCCCCATCGTGCTGACGCTCACCACGCAGAAGGCCACGCCCACTCACGTGGAGCGCATGATCAGCCTGCAGTACCGGGACCAGAGTCTGAGGCGCACCATCATACACCTGCAGTTCACCTCCTGGCCTGAGCTGTGAGTGGGATGTCGGGGTCGCTCCTCACTGCCGCCAGTGTGTGACGCCAGTGCGTGACCCCAGAACAAGCTGATGTATGAATGATGCACGTGTGTCCATACAGGGGGCTCCCGGACAGCCAGAGCAATCTGATCCGTTTCATCCAGGAGGTCCATGGACACTACCTGCACCAGCGCCCCCTACACACACCTATCGTAGTGCACTGCAGGTACGGGGAAGAACATGGCGCTGAGGGTCACTGGGTCATTTGTGACGTTCTATAATTATGTAATTAATTGCATATCAAGCTTAAGGGATAAATGGCTGGGAGGAGGTGGTTTGATTGAATGTGTGACTCCTCCCTCCATTCCAGCTCGGGGGTGGGGCGCACTGGTGCCTTCTGCCTCCTGTATGCAGCACTGCAGGAGCTTGATGCTGGAAACGACATCCCTGACCTGCTGTCATTGGTGAGGAAGATGAGGCAGCAGAGGAAGAACATGCTGCAGGAGAAGGTAACCACTTGCCTAGTTGTTCATCTGGGGGCCGACTACCTGACCCCCCCCCCCCACCGAGCCACGCTCCATATGATGCCCCCTGCCTCCTCTGCAGCTTCACCTCAAGTTCTGCTACGAAGCTGTCCTGATGCACGCAGAGCAGGTTCTCCAGCGCCATGGGATCCCTAGCATCCCCTGCAACAGAACCCCCAACAGTGCGGTTCTCAGGGTACGTCTAGTACTTAACACGTTGGCTCAGGGTTGAGTATGGAGGGGAGACGACTGCATCTACAGGCAGCACTGACGTCCTGTCCGTCCTCCTGCCCTAGGCGTACTCACGGCAGGAGTCCCAGGATATTGTCCTCGGAGGGGACATGCCAATCAGCTCTATCCAGGCTACCATCGCCAAGCTGAGCATTCGGCCACCGAGCAGCAGCCCGGAGCAGGGCTCCATCCTGGGCTCCGACCTCCCCGGGAACCTAGAGCCAAGCAGTATGACCGCCATCCATGCCCCCTACACGGCACCCCAGCCCCTGTCTCTCAGTCCTCCCCATTCCCTATCCCCCTCCCCACCAATGAAGGTGCAGTCCCCTCCGCCTCCCACTACAGAGCAGGGCAACAGCCTGGATGGCTCTGTCAATCACCTCTCTGGCCCAACCCCTGCTGCCAATCACCACCCGACTCCGCCCCAACCCACAAGCTCCTCCTCCTCCTCCTCCCTGGAGCTTCTGGCTTCCCTTACGCCCGAGGCGTTCACACTAGACAGCAGCAGCCGAGGGAAGCCCAGGATCAACAAGCAGAGCTTCCTGCAGCCGCACAACGGGCAGGGCCTGCAGCGAGACCCATCTGGGGACGACCCGCTCAGCAGCCTGGACCCACTGTGGACACTCAACAAGACCTGAAGAGCCACTACATGCCCTCCTCTTCCTTATGCTTTGTCCCTTGTCCTCCCTTTGCATTCTGTCCCCTGGGACCACATCACTGTGGGTCTGTCTGCCTGTGTTCCCCTGAACATCTCTACCGGCCCTCTGGCTATCCAAGCATGCTCTCCTATGTCCTGCTGTCTATCGCCCGTGCCGTGCTGTCTCCCTGTCTCTCCTCATGTGGCCAGTCTGCATGAGAAAGACAGCGACTGTGGTGGGTGCATTCTGAGGTCCAGAAGAGTACAGTAGCGTTTAACTGGAATTGTGGACACAAGACAGCCATGCTGGCTGTTGTTTGGCTAGGATCCTAATTAGCTTCTTGCATAGCAGGTACATATACACACGCTACAGTGGTGTATCCGATCTGACTGGGTGATTGTACGTATATATGATGAGCAGAATGGAAGAGTAGTTATTACTGAAATTGGCTTTAATAATACTGATTTCCCCAGTCCCACGCTCACTCTCTTACCTACAAAAACACACCAGAATCAGCAGACCAGAAATTGTAATGCATATTTTTAACTCCTGTTTGCTTCTTTTCTTATAACCCTGTAAATACACCTGGATTAAAGTAAGTGTTCTGAGAGTGATCAGTGTCCCGTCACCCGTCTGAATCCACTGAGCCTGGGAATGTGATTACAGTGATCGTAATTAACAGGCAGCAGTAACTCTGAAATCAAAGTAAAATTCCAGAATGCTATATCAAAGCCTTTTATTTGTAAATTAGTATAAAGTCCTCCTTTGTTTAAAAATAGTACAGAAGATTAGTTACATCTCTAGAGTACAATCATGCGGCCTTGTGCTCGGGGTGGGGGAATATCAGATAGCACGATTCTCTTGGGGTCGCAAACCTATCCGTGTTTATGTCCTGGTCCATTTGGGTGTCTTCCCCGCCTCGTGTAGGAGATTTGTTTGCATTTAAATGTAGAGATTAAGTATTATGCTCTTAGGTCCTTCCATCTCAAAATATTTGGAGGGTGAATAGAAACGTTTCATGTTTGAGCTGGAACAGACTGGAGCAAAAGCAGAATTCACAAGAGTGAAGGTGGTATGAGGAGGAACACTGATGCGCTGACGTGGGACGGCGATGGACTCTAACCGAAACCCGCGACCAAACCGAAAATCACAATGGGGCAAAAATTACAAATTGGCCTTGAATACAAACACAAATCAAAAAACAAAACGAAAATAACATACATAAAGTTTCTCTATTTTAAAGCTCTCAGCTAATATATACATCCAGAACACAAACTAATAAATTATAAGCATTACAGTAGAGATTTGCTTACTTGCACACTCAATCCTGCTGAACCAGTCTGAGCACAAACATACATTTAACCAGGTGTCCAGATGTGTGTGGGCGTCTGTTCTGTTGTGGGCGTGTCTTACGTGCCGTCAGAGGGGCTCACTGGGGCCAGCAGTACAGCCAGCTGGGATGCGAGTTGTGTTGGTCGTGGCTACAAAGTAACAAGCATATCATGTCCCAGACTCCAGTAAAGGACTAAACGGTGATTTTTCCATCACAGGTTGGTAAGATATAGCAAGAAGGATGGAGATAAAGGCAGGGCTGTGGCAGGGGATGTGGCAGGGATGTGGCAGGGGATGTACACTGTTGCCTTCTTGTTTTTTGTCTGCAGCTGTCCTCTGAAAAGCCGTATCGTAGCTAATTAAATCACGACCAGGCTTCACACCGCCTGACTACCAACCTCCTGTTACAATAATAAGTAATAAACCCAAAAGTAATAATAAATATTAAGTATCCTGACAAGAGTCTTTCTGCAAGCACAGTGCTAAGAGGAGCCTGGCTCTGTAGAATTTCACCTGGCCCAGCTCTCCATACCTGGTTTACTAATCCAACACCAGGGCCTTAAATTAAAACAATTAATTTACACCATGCCCACTGCTGTGGAAACATGCTGTGTGGTGCTGTGTAACCGGATCAGAACCGTTTGGTGGGCAGGTCACACGGCATACGAGGTGCACAGGACAACCTCTCTGGACACACAAGACGTACTGGGGCGTTAACTGGGCGGGGGTTTGAAACAGGGTCTGACGTGCTTTTAGTCTTGAGCTTCACTCCTTCCGTAAGGTCAGTCTTCCAGGTGTCCAGGGCTAAACATTGCACATTACTTTCCAGATCTCACATGACCACTCCCCACGTCCATTCAAAGCAATACAAAGCTGAAATCCATAAAATACAAATTAAATTTAAATGAATGACCTCACTCACTCAACTCACTATAACCCAAGTTTGCCGTGGCTGTCACTCATTGGCTAGTAGGGTGGGTGGGACCACCTGCAGCACCAATGACTGTACAGGAAAAACAACCGTAACAACACTGCAGCCGAAGCATCCCGCAGAGTCCTCCTGGGGACTCAGGTCCGAAAGCAGAGTCCCGCCAGAGCCTCTGCTGCCCTCCACTGGCCGGGTGCACAGATCGCACAGAAGGGGGCAGGGCCACGATGAAGACGACAGGAAATAGGGAGGAATAACAGCGACAGGCTCAGTCCAGCTTTTCCAGCACGGAGGGCACATAGACCAGGCTGAGCTCACTGCCAAAGTCGCACACGATGGCAGCGTTGTCCAGCACCAGGAGCTGCCGCACGGCCTGGCCCTCGCTGCTGGGCCCCAGGTACACCGTCTGCAGGAGGTCACCGTAGTTTAGCTCCCAGAAGGACACGCAGCCCAGCCCGCCGGTGACCAGGAGCCCATCTGAGATGACGCCTAGACTGGCACCGCAGCCCACATCCTGTTGGGGGGGGATCCTCGTTAGGTTTTACTCGACCTCTGCAGTGAGGACTCGAACGCCCGCACGGACACACACCTGCTGGATGGAATACAGCTTGATGCCCGTGCTCCGGTCCCAGATGCAGATCAGGTCGTCCAGCCCGCTGCTAATCACGCAGGACGTCGTGCAGACCAGGGAAGTCACATCACCACGGTGACCGTACACGTGGCTGACCCGGCTGCCAGTCAGGACGTCCCACAGACAGATGGCTCCATCCTGTCCCCCACTGGCCAGCACCATGGTCTGAAACATGACCCACATCCTGTCACATGCCGTAGCACCATGGTCTGAAACATGACACCACATCCTGTCACATGCTGTAGCACCATGGTCTGAAACATGACACCACATCCTGTCACATGCTGTAGCACCATGGTCTGAAACATGACACCACATCCTGTCACATGCTGTAGCACCATGGTCTGAAACATGACACCACATCCTGTAAGGTCAAATTTTTATATATATATTATACGATCCCGTATGATCCTATACACGATCCTGTAACCCGTAGCAACCATCAGGTAGAGAACCCGCACCTGTCACTACCCTAAACTAACCAGTCAAGAGGCTGTTAATAGTCTTGATTTATATGTAAAAATACGACTGACGCTGACAATCCTCCTGGTGCAATGAGGGACAGGACTGACTGACCTGATCAATATAAATGGCAGTGATGCCGCCTGAGTGGCCCTGCAGAGTGAAGAGGCAGCAGGAATCCTCCAGCCGATAGACCTGAGGCAGACAGAGGCGTGTCACCAGAGGGGGCGCAGAGGCACTGTTGGGCGGTGCACGTGTGCACACACTCGCACACTCACCCTGACGGTGTGGTCCTGGCTGCCCGTTACCACGCGGCCCGCCGCTGCTCGCAGCACTGTGATTGGCTTGTGGTGGGCGCACTGCACAGAGCGTGTTACCTGACAGCTGATGACATCCTCACTGCTGTAGCAGGGAGACAGGGGGGGCATGCTACCCCGCCCGGGGGTGCCTGGCAATGCAGGGGCACAGGGAGCATTATTCGGAGGGTCTGGGCATCTCAGAAGCGGTACGGGGAGCGGACTGAAGCCCCGCCACACTCACCCCGATACTGACGCAAGCCCAGAGGCTTGTTCATGTCCACGGTGAAGAAGTCCAGCGAACCACTGAGCCGGGCTGCCACGATCCTGTAACCCATAGCAACCGTCAGGTGGAGAACCCGCACGTCAACACCCTAAGCTAACCATTAAAAACCACACTCACCAGTCACAATCAAAACTAACCTATTATTACCAACTTAATCCTGAACACATCCCCCATATCAAGATCTCATCTAAAATGCAGCTCATCTAACAGCTGTGTGCATGCAGCATCTGCATGTGCATGTGTGTGTGCGTGTGAGAGAGAGCCCAGATGTTACCGGTTACTCAGGAAGGCCAGTGCGGTGATCCCAGAAACTCCTTCATCATTGCTGCACCGTAAGCTGCCTTCAACAGCATCCCACAGCTGTAGGGAAGAACTTGCACCATCACCACAGAGACAGACAGGCAGGGAGACACAGACAGACGGGGACAGACATGCAGGGGGAGACAGACAGACGGGGACAGACATGCAGGGAGACACTGACAGACGGGGACAGAGACTGACCTCCAGCCGGCCACTCCTCCTCCCAGCTGCAATAAGGTTTCCCCTGAGCTCCAGCGCCCAGACGGAGCTGTCCCAGTCAGGAGGGCTGGAGCAGGCTGGCTCTGGGGGAGCCATGGGCTGGTCCCCTACGCTGCGGCGCCTCTGCGGGGGTGTGTGGGGGGAGGGGGGATACGTGGGGCTGGGCGAGGGCTCGTGCTCCAGGTACGCCCGCTCCACCAGCTCGCCGAAGTCGAAGCCGGAGTGGCACGTGGCCTGCGAAGGGGGCAGGCGGGCAAAGCTGGTGTCGATGAGGGGGGTGAGATCGGGCTGGTCCATGAAGAGGGAGGGACGCGAGGACGGGGCAGCGCGTCGCCTCAGGAGGGCCACGTCTGCGTCTGGATCCTCGGCCCCCAGGCTTTCCAGCTCGCCCACGTCCCAACCGTTCCGCTGCTCCCACCCGCCACTGCTACTACAGTGACGCAGCCTTTTTGGGGGGAGACAAAGACGTACTTCGTACTGTCCTCTAACAGGGTGCAATTTCCATCCGCATGTCATATAGTGCCATTTCAAACGAGACGTGTGCTTCTGAAAGTGAGAGAATGATCGCGGGTCTGCGTGCGAAAGACACACATTAATCTGGGTGTGTGTGCGAAAGAGTGAACATCCACATTTTACTCATTAATCTGACACTTATTCAAAGCAACTTGCAGTAGAGGGTAAGATTACAATTGTGTGTGCTCCCTGGGATTTGAACCCACAACCTTTGCGTTGTTAGCGCAACGCAGTACTGGTTGCGCTACTCGTTGAGCAACAGGAACGGACATATGCAGACGTGTCTAACAAGCTGCATGTTACCCATGATTGGGGATGAGAGTCAGGCAGTCCCCGGTCTGGGCGTCCCATACCCGGATCTGCCCTGCTAGGCAGCAGCTGGCCAGCAGCATCCCATCACTGGCCAGACACTCAATGTCCTGTAGGGGGCAGTATAAAGCACGTCATTAGCTTCAGCTGGCATTCTGTGCGCTTGAGCATGCACACGTGCGCGCAGAGACGCGAACTGCGGTCATACCATGCTGTGCCCCCGCAGCAGCAGCGGCGAGATCTCACTGACGGGCGGAGAGTAGCCATAGTCGTCGCAGGGCAGGTCTCCACGGCGACGGCGGCCATGCTGCACCCCGTTCTGGCCATAGTTACGGGGACAGAGCACACGGTACAAGAAGAAGAGCAGTAGGACTAAAATGACCCCCGCTGCCAGGCCCAGAGCGGCCACCCTGTAGGGGAACAGACACATAGACAGACATCAAGCTAGGGTGGGGGGGCGACTTCTGTGTGCTTTATCCAGGTGAGCAGACAGAATATTAGCATTCTGATAAATGAATCTCATAAATGATCCTATTCATAACAGGCTTTCTGGATCGTGACAGCTATCGGTGCTCTACATACCCCAGACACCCTGCATTATTACGAGGGGGGGGGGCTCCTGAGATGCACACTTATCAACATTCCATTTATATTTGACACAAGTTCAGATTTCAAATCACAGGCCCGTAAAATCAGGAGTGATGTACTGACTTGTAGAGTGTCAAGTCGCCCTGGGGGGGAGGGCCTTCCCTGTCAGGGGCTGTGCTCGACGGGGGGGGCGGGGCATGGTGCGTGTCATGGGGGTGCCGCGTCTCTAGCGCCTCCTGCGGGCTCAGGTGGAACGTCACTGGGATGACTGGCAGGAAGCTGATATACCTGCAGAGCAGAGTCAGTGTGGGAGTCATAGTCAGAAGCAAAGACTCCAGAGAGTCACAGGAGAGGCATAGAGCTCAGGGACTCAGTAATGACTCAGTAATGTAATATGAGCAGCACAGGGACTGAGAAAGCAGAGCCCAGGTCTCCGCGGTCGCCCACCTCTTGGCCAGGGTGATGTTGTAGTAGCTGAAGAGCAGGGGCCAGTGCCGGAAGGACAGATGCTTCCATGCTTCCCCGTCCTCAGGGCCCCAGCGGATCTGGGGCACAGCCCGGCCTGCTGCCTGGGGGGCGTGTCCCTGGGACAGGTTCTCTGGCAGTGCAGGGGTGGGCTCAGCAGGGGGCAGGACGCTGAGCGTGCTGGTGGGGTCACCGCGCGGGAAGACGGGGGCGACGCCCAGATGGGGCAGCCCCGCCCCCCCCAGCGGGCTCTGCTCGGACACCTGGGCAGCCAGGTAGATGCGCAGACCCGCCGGGTCCGTGTACACCAGGATGCCGATCCAAATCACCGTGCCGACCTGATGCCAGAGACGCACGGTCAGACGGCTCCGCTAAACCACAGCGGACGGACAACTGCGAAGGCTCCGCGACGTCTCACCATGATGATGCGCTGAGCCAGCCGCGTGCGGGCCAGGAAGTACACCACCCGCAGCCTCTTGGGGAGCCGCAGGTTCCGGAAGGCGGGGGGCTGCAGGGTGATCGTGTGCGGGGAGGGGCGCGGGGGCGGCGGGGTTTCACGCGGCCGGAGGGGCCCGGGTTTCGAAGGGGGCATCCCCGCCTCGGCCGGAAGCCGCCGATTCAGGTCGGCCAGCTGGAGAAAGGGGAGAGGGGGCAGCAGAGCCCATACTGGTTGCTAGGAGACAGGATGGGGGTGTGGCTAACAGCCTCACGGGAGACTGTCCTTATCCAGAAGGAAAAGCGTCCCATGTGAAGCAGGGCAGCCACACACGTGACACATAATTGAAGTTAACAGGGTAACAGTGTTAATATTACCAACGCGGCATCGGCACCCTGTTCATACACGGGACACGTCATGTCGTAACATCGGAGTCCTCTTACCTCCATGCGACGGATGTCGATTGAGAGCACCGTGGTGAAAAAAAGCATCTGGAGGAAGAAATCAGAGACCAGCCCCACCACAGCGAACAGGCAGAACTCCTGGAAAGAGAGGGGAGGGTGTTTGTGGGTCACAGGGCACTGAGCTTGGGATCTGTCTGCAGGTGGGGTGTGTTTGTGAAAGACAGGTACCTGAATGGCTGGGACCAGGGTGAAGTATCCAATGAGAATGATGCACAGCTCAGTAGCCATGTTCTTCATGATGGACCAGCTCTCGTTGCTTAGCCCTACAGCACAAACATGTTGCTCCAGTGGCTTCACACATACAGCCACAGCACACGCTTGGCCTAACATTAACATGCACGATGCAGCACTGCACGTTTAACGCTCACCCTGAGCTATGCGCAGTTTGACCTCCAGGTCAACAGGGGTCGACACCACGGACTTGGTGAGGACGAGCACGTTCTCCAAGCCGATTACCACCACCAGGTAGGGGAAGATCTCCCTGTGAAAGTGACAGTGAAACAAACAGAAAAGCAGTGATAAGAAACATGGGTGAGAGGTCAACCTGTAGCAAAACAGCCATGAGTCATCAAAGTCCACAGCCGCCATGCAGGTTGTGTAACCAGGCTGGTAAAGACGGCCAAACTGTAGGCCTGTCCCAGGGTGGTCTGACCTGCCAGCCGCTGCAGAGAGGAGAGCGTCACGCCACTCACTGCAGATGCCAACACAGGCCACGCCTCTCCCCAAACCCCACCCCACAGGGAACTCCCACTGCCCCGAGTATCAGGGTTAGCAAGAGGAAACCGAGAGCCTGCAGGGGGCGCTGTGAGGCTCTTACCCTCCATTGAGTGTGGGCGTCAGGCCAAAGAGGGTGCAGAGCCCCACAGACATGAGGAGCGAGCTGAGAACCGTCACCACGGCAGCCAGAGCGAGGCCCCACTTGGACCTGACCATGTCGATCTTTCCTGTGGGGGAGGGAGGGGTGGAGAGGAGGGGAGGGGAGGTCAGGGTATAGTAGGGACACCCAGCGCGCAGACACACACACACACACACACACACAGCGGGCGCGCGAGCGAGCGCCAGCCTCACGGGTGGAGAAGTAGATGTAGGCGAAGAGGATGATGTAGGTGGTGAGCAGGGGGATGAGCTCCGCCACGCCGATCTCCTCCTTGAAGTAGACGTGCACAATGTGCTCCTCGCGCAGGCTGCAGTTCGACGACGGATGCAGCTGCTTGAGACGCGACCTCAGGCTGCCCAGGAACCTGAGGGGTGGAAAGGTCTCATCATGAAGAGAAATGGAGGCATTGCTGCGTTCCATTTAGCACAGAGGTAGGAAGCTGGAGCCGGGAATGTCGGAAAGCCGCGTAGTAATACCACGGACCTGTTTCAAAAAGCAAAGTTTCTTGCTTAGCCAGATAACTTGTCAGATTTAAGGTATCCCAGATTAAATGGCCTTTACCTTCATTCACTAACATTTAGCCCAGACTACCTTAAATCTTACAAGTTATCCTGCTTTCTGAAACAGTCCCCAGGTCTAGCCTGAGTAATTGTGAGTCACTGTTAGTAATATCAGTTAATACATTACGTGGTATTTGGCACATAAGAACAGCGCAGCAACACGTCCACAGATAGTGGCTGGATAGTACTGTCTGCACGACCGATTTAATGAGCCACAAATAAGACATAAGTGCTAATAAACAATATATAACTACAGCTTTAACTTCTGTTGATAAAGGGTGCCGCCATCTTCAATTCTGAAGTTTGTGTCGATTCCTCTGACTTTCCATACAGGAATTCTAACTTCAGGGGTGTTACAGTTACAGTCCTACTAGGAACTGGCAGCGTAAAGCTCTGAGCCCCAAATTCCCGGTCACTGCTGCTCTTAGACACTGCTACAGAGTGTGCTGGATGGACAGATGTAAAGGGGGCGGGGCTAGGCCTGAGTAATGGCCACACCGTCCACTGACCTGGCATCATAGCTCCGCAGCGCCATGGTAACGGTGTAGGTGACCACGCGTTTGCCACTGTTCAGGCTAACCCCTGTTTGCTGGCCACGGACTCCGAACAGCAGGTCTGCAAGAGACAGAGTGTCACATACGGCACAGACACTGACAGTCAACCGACACAGGACATCACCCTTTTTAACTTTTAAAACTGTTGTTTCATAAGAAGGTCCAAAGTATGCACTCAGTAAGCAGTATAAACAGCACACAAAAGTACGAACACATAATGGACTAACGGCTAATCTTCTCTGAATGAGGGCAAAGGGCGTGTACAGACAGGCTGGGAACAGCCAATACCCTTCCAAAGAGGGTATTGACCCACCCATGGCCCCGCCCATGGCCCCGCCCATAGCCACACCCACCACCACGCCCACCTTTCAGGGTGGCAGACACATGCAGGCCTTTAGGTTCATGCTGCTGGACCGTCTTTAGCAGGTCCGGGTCCGTATCGAACAGCTCCCGCTGGTTCTGCCAGTAGTTGCCAGGGGAGACGATGAGGCAGCCATGCTCTGGGAGAATGGTCTGCAAGCGTCGTAACCCAGGCAACAGGTCCGTCACCTGGAGGCACAGTGCCTCTAGGCTTCGAACGCCAGAACTGCAGCACAGGATGAAAGAGAAGCAAGGCAGTGTAAAGCCCAGCTTTTAACAGCACACAGCTACGCACAGAGATACACCAGCAGCACATTGAAATACCATTTAATACCTACAGAGACTAGCCATCCAAACAAGGCAAACTGGAAATTGCTCCGCAAACCTGTCAGAGTGCATGTGGCTGCGGATCTCGTCCAGCAGAGCGAAGACGCGTCCCAGCGGGGACCTGAAGGCGTCCACTGGGACCAGCTTGCTGTCCCAGGGGGACACCGCCGCCTTCACCAGCACCTGCTGGATGTACGCCACAGGGGGGCCGTGGTACTGGGGGGGCCAGGGGTCAGAGGTTAAACACCGACTGTCCACACCACAGACATGGCTCATCAGGCACACACACTCACCCATTCGGGCCGCTCCCCGAGCTCCCCACCAGGGTCCTCTGGGGGCACTGTGTAATCACGCACTCCTGTGGTGAACTTCTCCGGACCCGCCCCAGGCAGGGGCAGCTTCAGCAGAGGGTAGCTGGGGCAAGAAGGGACTGGCCAAGTAAATTTGGAGCACACGCACACAGTTCGCTATTGATGGGCAGATGAAGCTTCACAAACTTTTTGACCCCACTAGGTGGCGCTCTTGGTTTACTTTGGGTCATGCTTTGAGCCCTTTTATGAGAGGAGAGCACCATCTAGTGGGGTCAGAAAATACAGCAAATGGTTCATGAAGCCTCATATGCCCCATCACTACAGTTCACCCACACACAGCTTTTGCACAGCTGGTCCGTAAGTGTGAGACATGTGGTTAGGCTGGGGATTCTCAGTCACACGGAGGAATATTAAAAACAGCAAATTTTAAATGAAAAAATCATTTTGCGATGCTCTCAGGCTGCCTACGAAAATGTGCTTCATTCATTAACACAATAAAAAAGCCATCCTTGAACAAAATTCCCCAGACAGGATTTACTGAAAAGGATCGAGACGGACATGAATAAAAGGCGTGACCAAAAGCCTGGGAAGAGTGTGTGCGTGTGTCACTGGGGAGTTCACCATCCGTTAGTGAGCGGCTTTCACAAATGCCATTCGGCTGGCACAGAAAAACCTTCCCTCAGGCAGGAGGGAACATTTCCGCAAGGTCACGTTACCACGGCCTCGTTGGCTCAGCTCCCACAGAGCTGAAGGATCCTCACGGCCACCAGCTGAATCACGCTTCCCTGTCCTTCGGCAGGCGAGGTCCCTGCACACCAGCACACAGCCTACAGGGAGGAGGACAAGTCGGCCTGGACGAGACGAGGAACCCACCAGCACGCGAGGATGCAGACTGCGGTGAAGAGGATGATGGGAACGGGGTAGGAGGCGCACAGCAGGCCGTGCCAGTAGAAGGCGACTGAGATCTTCTGTCGCAGCCTCTCGGTCACCGTCATCGTGGGGGCAGGGTCAGCTGACTGCCACGGGGCGGGGGCGCCGTGCAGCTGAGGTGGGGGGCGGAGGGGAGCATCCAGTGGCCTGGTGAAAGAGAGCATGGGGTAAGCCCCCCCTTGGTATAAAGGTCTCATACTAACGACTTATTCCTTTATATATCGCAGCAAGACTGGACTCTCCCCTGTGTGACATTTGTGACACCAGGTTCATGCTGCTCAGGGTGTTTTTGTGTCGCTCACTGGAAACCAAGCCCAGCCACACTTTTCTTATTTAGTATCTCCTGCCATTGAAATTTATTCTGCCAAGAGCCTCAGCCAAATAAACTGATGCAACGGAGTAGGACGTATAAGCCAACGCGTCCGTGGTCCAACAGATGATCTCATACTGGGATTACAAGCAAGTCCCTGTTCTTAACCAGCATGTTATTTGCTGCTCTGCACTCACTAATCTTATCAGGGCAATATTTGTTTTTGGCAACAACTTTCTCTCAGAAAAATGATATATGGTTTTCTTGCCCTTTTCCTAATGAGGCCACAAATACTCACAAAGCTGCCCCAGTTCCACTGGAGCACCTTTGTACTTTGGACAGCTGATAAATGTCATGCTGTGTACAATAATGTCATACACTGGCCTCTGCAAGGCCGCTCGGCCTTTGCCGATACAGACCCCAAACGTCACCTCCAGTCTGAACAACCTCACTCCCATTCCTATATCAGAGGGGGGTTCCTCACATGACTCTTGAACACCATCCAAATGGAGGAGAGATTAAATCCTGGACCAGCCTTGCACCCAGGAGGTTGATTCTGGTCAGACGGGTCTCTAAAAGCAAGCTTGCAATAGGGATGCTTCACAATCACAAACCTTATTCCATGACGGGAACTGGTAGCTCGTGAGCAGACAACCAGCTGCTAGGATCGTGCCTGAAAAATACCAAATTAAAATACCAAATTAAAACAGAAGAAGGGTCTCACCATGCCTGCTCTGGCATTTACATCTTCCTTTCCCTTGCAGACAGCCTGCTTGTCGAGCTTACAGACACGGCCTGACACAGGATGTGGCTGCAGACCACAGGTCCAGGCTGAGGCAGCTTCAAGCCCAGACTGGTGCGTTACAGCTGAACAGAAAGGGACAGGGTGGTTCTGGCAGCTAGATACCTGATGTGGGTCAGGGCCATACGAGCAAAACTGTGTCAATGCAAACATGAATAAACAATAAATAAGATTAATACATTTTCAGCTGCCCACTCAAAGGGCATAAAGAATTCATCTGCTTGTTTCGTTCACCGTCCTGTCCAGACTAACTGAGGCATGCATAGGAAACGCACACCCCCTGTCCCGCAAAAGGTACATCTGCTGTGTGCCATGCGTGTATGGGTGTGTATGCACACCTCCTCGGAGTCCGCGCTAGATCAAGGTAATTTTAGACTAGCGCCAGGACCAGACCCACCTGGGCTCTTCGGGAAATGCACTCACACACCCACATGCATACATCACCACACCTCGCATGCCTGAGCTCACGTTCAGTGAAGTACTCCAGCTTGTAGCAGAACGAGGTGACAGCGTTGCAACACAGAAAGCGGAAACAGGCACGGCGTTGCCAGATCACAAAACTGGATATTCTGGACTGTCTAACACAGCGTGTGGTGGGACCAGCAGATACCATATAGCTGAAAGCCCTAAGGGGGAGGGACAGACTAATCACAGTATGCGGCCAGAGAAATGAGATACATGTTCAACGCTACTGCTGTTAGAAGGAAGGACCAAGGCTTTAAAAGCACCCATAACAGGAATAATCATGTAAATAACCTCGTAACGAGGGGCGCCACTGCATGCAGAAAAGAGAGTGCAACGTGGCAGTAATGCAGCAGAAATGCAACAGCGAGGGCTAAACAGACATTTCCCTGAAGCTACACCACCAATTTAGGGATTTAAGGAAAACTGCATTATTTCACTGTGGTAGACAACGCGGTGGGTAAAGATTCGAGCGACTGACCTGGAAGGCTGCAACGAGAAACAGGGCGAAACCTAAAGCAGCGTAACTGATCTTTTGTTAAGGTTTCATTACCAACAGTCATTAAAACCTAAAGCAGAGAAATGACACCGTGACCGAGGGTCAGGTCTGTACGCCGAACTGGTAAAGCACTCAGTAAACAGACCCCGCGTACCCCACCAAAACCCCTAACCCTAACGCACCGACCCAGTCACAACGGGTCATCTGTTCAACAAATTCATTCAAACAGTAACGCTGTTAACCCGTGAACTATGTGACCTCGTAAAATGTACTTTTAAATCGGTATAACTACTTCTTGTATGAGCGTAACGTGTCTATGTCTGTAATTGTTATGCATGCGTGTATATGTAAACTTGTGGACATGTAATGCATGTCTGCGTGTTATGTGCGCATATGTACCGTATATAAAGCCTTACGTTACTTTTATGAAATGCACGGCTGTCAACTCGCACGCATCTGGCGTGACACTCGTGCTTTCAGTCTCTCACGCAAGAAATCTTACGGCAAATCTGTATTATTCCATTACAAACCTAAAATTAGCCACAGCAAATGCGTTGGGTTAGTTTGCAAGCCATACAAAATATTTACAATGTAGTAAAACTGTTACATACATATAAATGGATTTGCAGACTTGTCTCAAATTGAAAATCTCACTCCAGCCAGCTGAACAAAGTTGTCAACCCTGGTAATGTATGCACCTGTAATGCTTAGAATGTCTGCATGTAATGTTGTGTGTACATGCAATGCATATGTAAGGTTTATATAAATGTGTGTAAATGTAATGCGTAGATAATGCGTTTGTATGTAATGTGTATGATGAGTATGTGTGTGTATGACGGTTCCGTAGCGCGTGTAGTGCGGATAACGGCGCCTCTGCGCTCGCGCCCAAAGCGGCCCGTGCACCGGCTCCCACCCCCGCGACTCCCCGCCGCCTAAGCCCCTTAGCATGCTAAGCTAACGGCGCCGAGCCGAGCCGGACCTGTCACACGCGACCCGAAAGCGGATTCGGCTCGGCTCGGACGTCGACCGACAGCCTCCCACCACCAGGCTGCCGACAGCGCCCCGCGGCCACTCACCCCGCCGCTCTTCTCCAGTCCCGGAGCCGCGATGATCAGTCCAGGGACCGCTCTCACGCTGCTGTGATACGGTCGAGCCTATGACAACAGAGGCGTGAACCCCAGGCTGGCCCTCTACACTCCGACCTCTCACCCCGGCGACGGCACGCCCGCCAGAGCCGGGAAGGGCGACCTCTGCTGGAGGCGGATAGGAACGGAACGCGTAATCTCATCACGTTGCATCATGTTATGGAGACACATGGACATATCTTACGCGTACGTACTGTATATAAAATATGCATGTTACCAGTTTTTATTGACCGATTATCTTCTGTGCTACATTGCTCCTCAAAGACAGAGTATGTATAAACCATCATATTTTACACAGAAGTGACAGCATTGTGTGGGAGATAGGTGGGTACCACAACATGTCTGGACAAGTCATCACACAAAAGCACAAAGACTGCAGTCAAAAAAATTCTCCTTTAAATGTATAATAGGTACTTTCCCATCACAGAAGTCTACAACACACCCCAAATGACACGCATATATTAACAGATTATCTTAAACCTTTATTCAGTGGTATTATATGTATAACTTGTTCCCCCACATTTTTTAACTATTTAAAACCCATCTTCTCAATCTCTCTTACGCAACTGTCGTGACACACTTACAGACTGCAATCTTATGGAAAATCCATATTATTCCATTTTAAACTTAAAATGAGCTACATCAAAAAGCGCGGGGATAGTTTGCAAACCTTACAGACTATTTACAAGGTAATAAAACTGTTACATACATGTAAATACTTGTGCATATGTGTGCAGACTCATCTCAAATTGAAAATCTCATGCCAGCCAGCTGACCAAAGCTAGCAACCCTGTGTAATGACGTGTTCGGTAATGTAGCTTCACCATGCGATGAGTTCTTCGGAGCAGCCATATTGGTATGGGGCGTGAGAAACCAAGTGACGTGAAGTGATGTTACAGCCCACATGAGAAGGCTGACATGGTCCCACTACCCCCCACCTCAAGTTACCACAGCCAGACATTGAAAAATGTGTTTATTACAGTAGAGCTGAACACAGTGACCATGTCCAACCCTAACCCCGCCCCCCCCCCACCACCCCCAACCAGCACTGGTTGATCCAGTTCCCCAGAAAAATTCAGCGTTGACACAGATGCCAAGCTTTCCTGCACATTGAAGTTCACAATTATGGCGCAAAGTTCTAGCAGTAGAAAACACTGTCAAACATGGCTTCTGATTTTAAGGTCTTGGTAGACGTTTGACTCGGGTCTCCAGCTCTGGCAGCACAGTCGTAACAGTGAGCACCACACACAGCCTGCAATCCACACAGCACAGGGCCACCTGTCACCCCCGCCTCAGAGTACAGCACTGGATGTTCCCCTGGCGAAGAAGGACACCCCCTTGTCGTGGACCTTGTACTGTAGCAGCTTCTTCTGGGCCAGCGCCCCCCCTGGGCCAGCAGCACCAGGACCACGCTCTTTCCAGCGCACCTCCACCTGCAGCACAGTGAACACAGTGCCTCTATAAATCACCACAATCTAATCAGCTCCAATTCAAACTCATCCTGTGCCCATTAAAGAACAGCCAACCATCCATCCTTCTGGCCGCTTATGAAGGTCAGTGCTGCAGTTGAATTAAATAACGTTACTCCATTTCATTTAAACTGAACTAAATGTATCTAAACATCTAAAATATGAGTGTTACCATACATCTGTGTTATAATACTAAATGCTAAATAACAAAGGATAAAAAGGCCAAACACTGTACATACTCAATGTGAGCATTAAACACAGACACAAACCTGCCCATGGATGTCCCTACAGTAGCCGGTGGGCAGGCCCTGGATGCTGAGCGCCAAGGAGCACTGGTGAGTCAGTGCCTTCAACAGCAGCTCAGGGCCCTCCTCATCGTCCTCATCCTCACCAACTCGCACGAGCATCACCATGTTGCCCTGTCAGCAATGTCAGAGGTGTCACTGCAGGTCCAATGTCCTGCCAGTTTTGTTTTACTGGATCAGATGCCTATAATGCACTGCTGTGCGTGACCACAGGTCAGACACCCAGTAACATTGTGCAAACTAACATAAAGCCAGGGAGTCAAAATAAAATGACCTTTAATAAAAGTGTGTGTGTGTGTGTGTGTGTGTGTGTGTGTGTGTGTGTGTGTGTGAGAGAGAGAGAAAGAGAGAGACACACTGGAGCCCACCTGCAGCTGGTGGCACACGGTGGTCCTGCAGTAGTGGCTGAAGTCTAGAATGGCCTCCACACTGACGCCCAGGCTCAGTAAGACGCTCAGATCATCCACCAGCAGTATGGAGGGGCTCCATTCACCTGCCCCACCCACCGATCGCTGCACAAACCGGAACAGGCTCCGCAGATCCGTTTGGGAGCCTCTGCAAACATGGGGGGGGGAGTTTCTCTAAATGTAAGGTCTAACAGCAGTGACTGCTGCACAGGTAGATAGAGAAAAGGCTCAGAATCTGTCTCATGCCAGCATACACAGAGGTCCGACGTCTATCGGACTTGCACACAGAGCTGAGCAGACAGACAGACATCGATAAATCAGGTAATATTCACCAACACACCATTAGAGTTACAGCATAAATGTGACTGTCCTGGTTATACCTGAGGAATCCCATTGGATAGGCCTCTGAGTCGGGGCCCTGCTGCAGCAGCTGACCCACTGAGTCCTTCAGCCCCTCCAGGAAGACCAGCTGACCCTGTTCTCTAGCCTGGACCAGATTCACGCCCTGGCAAACACATCCACACAGAACATATGGACACTCATAGCCTATGTCCACGTAGTGTGACGGAAGGATGTACAGTAACTGCCGTACTCACCAGCCTCAGGGCCACCGCACTGTAGTGGCTGAAGGACTGCACCAGACCGAGGAAGCACACCTTACATCCCGCTGAAACGGCACGGCTCACACGTCACGTCAAACGCAACATCGTGGAAGAGTTTCATTCGGCTAAGTGTCCTGATCTACGCCCACTTACCTCTCAGGTATAAGGACAGGAAATGGTTAATGAGAAACGAGGCGTCGGCATTTCTGTCAGAAAGCAATATGAAATCCCCCTGCAAACATCAAGGGACAGAGAGCTTAAAATAGCACCGTCGGTAAAGCGCGGTAAAACGCCCTGGCAGTACGAAACATCACCTTTTCGATCTTCTCCGTGCTGAAGCCAAGCAGGCTGCCGAGATCTGGGAGCATCATGTGGAGAAACGCAGGTACTGAGAGATCACCACAAACTACTACAGCTTTCAGTCCACTGCCTGCGCCTAAAAAGAGGCTACTACTTACAGACGAACTCAAATTCGCCACATGCCTTCATAAATATTAATTCCCACCATATCTACAGCGAGTTTTTATAAAGGAGCGATACGACTTTATGTAACGCTTAAAGAGGGAATCACAAAAAGTAAAGATAAATTATCCTGATTCCTCAGCATCACATAATCAGCAATGCGCACTACTGTAGATGTGGAAACATGAACTAGGAAACTCACGTCCTCTCCATTATGTTTTGACTGCCCACCCGTGTCACGTGACAGAAACCTGACGAGGAAAGTCTACCGAGGCCTCAGTGGGACAATACATTCATGACTAAAAGCGTTTCCAGTGTCCGTCCGTAATTCCATCCGTCTTCACATCACATAAAAAAAGAAGCCACGATGGTTCTTTTGAATTAAAGTGTCATAAAAATAGCTAAAAATCTTTCTGTTTGTATTTTTGTAGTGTTGCTGATGCACCCTGGATTTCAGTTAGAGTTTGTGTCTTTGTGCAAGTGTCTTTGTGGGATGTCACAAAGTGTGATGACATCTCTTGGTGAACACAGGGGAGAAGCAAGTAGAGATGTGAGGGAAAGTAACTGGGGGTATTAAGGGGGGGTGAATTATGGCTGGGAGGGTAGGGGCCCTGAGAGGAGGGCGGGCATTCACAAAGACGGCTCTGTCAGACAGCGGACAAACAAGACCTCGGTCACCCTGAATCACCCGTCGCAATGGCCCATTTTCTTGCCCTTGCTCACCCCCCCACCGCTCCCACATAATGCAAGTGAGGCATCTGCTCCCCTTTTGCAGTCACACACTGAGTCTGGGACAATATTTGCATAGGAAAATCCCACTAAAAGATAAGATGTCTCATAAACATAGCACCCAAAGCATACACACACACACAATCGGGCAGTCACAAACACACCAATATGCACATTTTTACACAGATCAGTTGAAAGGGGCAAACCTTAACTTCATTCAGATTTAGACATCTATAAGAACAGCCTAATGGTTAAAAAATGAGATCTCATATATTAATATTAAGGTTTATTTGATTTAATATCGAAAGTATAAAAAAATCAAGTGGTCTGTTGTAATCCTATAGTACAAAATCTGTGCAGTGCAAAAAAATGGCACCAGTTGCCCTTGAAAACCTGTAGAGGAACAATGCACTATGGAACCACAAGGGGGTGCTGGGGGTGTCTCCTATCTCTGTTTCACAAGAGTTTCTTTCCTCCTGAGGTTGCCTGAGTCTCCTCCCATCACTCTTGTTTTAACACACTAAGGTTGATTGACAGTCACTTTCTGATCCTTCATCCTGATCCTTCAGTGTATGAAAACTGCTGGCCCATGTGAATTTGTCCGCACTCTGTGAGTGTATTTAGGACTTCAGTCCCTTGCACTCAATGGCTGTGAGAGCGGTTTCATTTAGGAAATCACCCGCGTCCGGCCAGGCTTCAGCTTCAGAAGGATACTTACAGACTGAGTTGGCAGCAACTGTAAAGTGAGGTGTCGTCTGTCCTCCGGACCCCTCTGTGTGTGTTTGTGTGCGTGTGTGTGTGGATTAGGTTTACATCACATTGTGGGGACCAAATGTTTCCCATAATGTAATAAAATCCTGTTTTTTTTTTTTTTACACTGGTCCCCACAAAGGTTTGTGAATTCAATCAAAAACGTAAAAATGCCAAGTCTCATATTTTTTGTTATGT